GATGACTGGCCAATGCGGCTTGGTCGAAGCCTTCCTGTTGACGTGACAAGAGCGCACATTTACTGCCAAACCTGCCGGCATCATTAAGATATCGATAGTTTTCCAGACTTTGGCCGTGTACTTACAAGTGTAGGTGGAAGGATCGACGACTTGGCCCCTGATTTGTCCAGCCCACCCCATCTCAATGAACTTGTCTGGATCCACATTCCAATCCCTCCCAAGATGAAGGTGGGCCCCCAGCTTTGAAGACGTTCCCCTAGACGACTGAGTATGTGACTTCCTTCTGGGCCTAGCGGGTCGGTGTCGGGAAGTTAGCCCGCCTGGGACAAAGGAGTTGACCCACCGCAGCGCCTGGCGATGAGGAGCTGGCAGATCGCGCACTGCCGTCGGCGGCATCCCCATGCCGATGAACTTCTGGCACGCTACAGCTACCCCCGACGACAGGCCACCTGCGTCAGTGACTATGGATGGAGTCAGGCTGGCGTCCCAGCCTAGCCCCCGAAGTGTTTGCTCACGTTCTTGCTGCTCGCTAGGCTCCACAGTGATCGTGCAGTACAGCTACGCAGGACTGGCATTCCCCTTCGAGATGCTGTTTCGCCGGTTTCCAGCACGTCGTGTTGCACGTGTTTATCGAGAAGAAACGATCCCCTTGGCCAGCCCTAGAAACGCATGCGCTCTGCTGCTGGCGTGCAAGCTTCTTGGACCGCGTCCTGCTCAAACTTAACTGATGTGGCAGCTGCGGCTCCCCAGCAGGACATTCGGGCTCCTGCTTGGGGAAAAAAGGGAGGACGACCGAGCGGCGGCAGTGGCATGGACAGCGGCGGGGGAGAGAAAGAAAATACCAGGTGGCGCGCCAAAAGGAGAGCCCTCCCGCACCTGCCGTTCGGCCCAGGTCTCAACGCCACCAGTCGCAATCGAGGTTCCCCGCCCGTCCGAGACCCGCTACCCGCCCAACCGCCCATCCCGCGCGGCTGGCTGGCCCGCGGCGGCGCCTCCAGCGCTGCCCGCGCAGCCCTGCCTCCTGCCGGTGCTCCCTTGGCGCCTTTCGCCGAGGCCGCTCTTGCAGCCTGCCGCGCGTCGCTCTGCTGCTCAGGAGGGAAAGAAACACACAGACACAAGTAATCGTCGGTTCCCAGAAAATGCGGGAAAATATGGGCAGTGGGGCGGAAGACAGAAACCCAGAAAATATGGGAAAATATGTGGAAATGTTTTATTTGTGTGTGTTGATTTGTGTGTCCTGGGGCCCCTTCAGCTGCGTTGGCAGGGGGGCCCCCGAGCGGTCACGGTCGGCTGCGCCGCCGCCATCGCTGTCAGCGGCGGGGCCGCCCGCGGCGGGACACAGCGCCAGCGGCAGCGCCAGGGCCAGGAGCACCGGCGGTCGCCTCTTGAGGCCGTGGCGGTCCCTGCCCGGCGGGCCCCCGCCCCGGCGGTCTGCTCCTCGGTCTTCCTCTTCTTCGTGGATCGGGGGCGGAAAAGAGGGGGGTGATGACTAGGGTGGTGGTGGATATCATGGCGTGGGCCATGATATTTCCCCAGATTTCATGGCGCCTCTTCTTATTTCATTACGTCCCTGGCCCCCCGCTGGGTCGCGCACATGCCGCCGGTCATGATTTGCACCCCCCCTCTTGGACACCCCCCTCTTTGCCGCCCCCGAGTGGAGATCCGCTTGACGTGCTCCTTGTGCTTCTTCTTGAGGCCCTGCGCAAACTCTTGCGCCGGGCCGAACGAGGTCTTCGCCAGGTCCGCGATCCCCTTCCGCATCTTCTCCTGGCGTGCTGTGGCCTCCTGCCGATCCTGCTCCGATGTCTCGCACTCCCCGAGGTCGAAGCATGTGAGGTCGCCCTCCAACAGCTTGGACAGCGGGATACGCGGCGCCGAGCCGCCCTGCGTGCCGACCACGTTGGTATGCAGGTTGCCCAGCAGCTGCTTGTAGTGGTTGTCCGCCTCTTCCAGGTCCTCGGTGAGGGACTGCACAAGGCTGGTCTGCTCCCGCACCGCGCTCTGGATGTGCTCATACTTGGACACTTCGAGCTTGAGCTTTGCCTCCAGGTGCTGCACCTTCTGATGTGCCTGCTGCGCCTGCACCTGTACAGGCACAGCTCTCGGCTCCATGGCGAGCCGCTTCTTATACTCGCGAATGGACTTGAACTTGGCCTCCATGGCCCCGTCTCCCAGCTTGCTCGCGACCGCGACCAGATTGTCAACCTCCTCGCCCGACAGCTCAAGTTCCTTGTTCGTGACTCGCCCGACAGCTCAAGTTCCTTGTTCGTGACAGCTCAACCTCCTCGCCCGACAGCTGCAGACCCGCCGCCCGCGGTGCCAGCCCAGGTGGGCTGCCGTATGCTTCCCAGGCGAGACACTCATCTCCACCTCGGACTCGCTCTTCCCATGACTTCTTACAGAGCTTGCAATACCATTGCGCCCATGGGGTCTTTTTGCACCCGCAATGCTGACAGCGCCACGTGTGGACGCCCTTGCCTGCGTTCCTGGGCTTGTCACGGTCATTCCCTGTCTCCTCCTCCTCACGGCCCTTGCCACTCGCATGGTTCCAGGACTGTCTCCACGCCATCGCTGTGACTGCAAGGGCTGGCGCTGGAAATCAGGTCCCGCTGCTGCGGGGGAAGGGCTGAAACTGGAAGACGAACTCGTGAAATGAATCCTCACCCTGGGCAGGCCCACTGATCGAGGATCTGGCGGGTCCCTCGACCACCTCGAGCCCCAACCCCAGGGAAGGCGAAGGCCCCGGGCAACGGCCTTGAACAAAATGGCTACAGACTCCCCCTCCTCCTCCCCCTGCTCCTCCTCCTCCTCCCCCTCCTCCTCCTCCTCCTCCTCCTCCTCTTTCTCCTTCTCCTCCTCCCGTGGAGGAGGAAGAGGATGAGGAGGAGGATGGGGGGCGATTAATGGAAGGGGGGAGGGGGGGGCGATTAATGGAGGGATTGTTTGATGGGAGGGGGGCGATAAGTGAAGGGGTGAGGAAATGTGCCTTCTTTCGTATGCCTTTTGGGCCCCATTGGGCGCGCCGCTTAGGGCCTCTTTAGCCATGCAAGGTGCAGCTTTCTTCCACCCTCCATTTACCGCCCCGCCATTACGCAACGCCCGATCCAATATATGCACACTTGCTCATATTCAGGGGTACTCCGCATATGTGATCACCGATCAGTGCCTGCTCTGGGGGGTCCTGTTCGGCACCTGCGGAGCTGGACCCATGTGCCACACTTTGCGGTGGCCCGTTGGATCCCGATGTATCCCCACGGGTTTCTGCGTCTGGTTTCGCCTTCCTCCCCACTGACCCTGCGTTCCGTTCTTGTCAGTGGCCGCCTGGACTGCTGTGGGTTCCTGTGCATTCCTGTGCCCCCCCAGGTGTCGACAAGGGGGGGATGCGGAAAGGGGGGAGTACGAAATCTGCTGGCGCACGCGGTGCTGCTGCAAGGAACAATACGAGATCTGCTGCATGCAGCTGGCTTCGGCCCCGCCGCCCGGCGCCTTCTCCGATATACACTGGCGCATCCGGCGCCAAGAGGCGCGGGAGAAACCGGCAAACCCTCGGCGGTCGGCGTTCGAACCATACCCCTGCTGCTGCCCCCCACCCTCCCACCCTGGGCGCCAGGCGCAGCAGGGTATGGATAGAAAGCGTGGCCTCGGAGGGCTGGATTTTATCCATATTTCCGCTCTGGCCCTTCGTAGGGGTCGGGACGTGAGCAGAGGCATGGATAACATTTCATTCGCCTAAAGCCCCTTGTGCTTTCCCCATCGTTCTTTCCACCCCGACAGTGGCCTTGCATGCGGCACCTTCTTGGGCTCTGGAGGCCTGTGGCCGAGGGCGCACCCCCCAGCTGGCCACTGGGCGGCACGCGCCCCCGCACGCGGGCATCCTGCACAGCACTGCACCGGCGCTCCAGAAAGTGCCTCGCCTTCGGTCGGGGGCGAAGTTGTGCGCGAATAGCCCAGGGCAGACGCGCGCTCGGCACTCACACGTACGCGTGCAGAGTCTGAGCTTGTGCATCGCGGTGCCAGTCCCCACTTCTCCGCAGTCCCCGGTCGTCATGAAGGCACGGCGGACGTTTTCTCGAACGTTTTCCGCTTCCGTGTGCCCCTGCCAGGCCCCGGCATTGCAAACAGATGGTTCAGAATGAAAAGCCCGTCCACGGGAAAAGGGTCAGACTTGGGGGGAGCGACGTTTTGGAAGGTGCCCCGCCCGAGCGGGAACGCAAAGAATGTCCGTCCTCCTCCTCGTCTTCCTCCGTCCCCCCCTGATCATCCTCACTCTCGCTCCGCCTCCCACCTCCTCGCTCGTTCTCCCTCTTCGTCCTCTTCCTCGCTCCTTCTCCCCCTTCTCCTCTCCCGTCCTCCTCGCCCATCCTCCCCTCGAGGTGCATTGGCAACACAACATTGGCGCCTTTTCGTGCGCGACGCGCGCCGTGCCCCCCTGGTTCTCGCCGCGGCGTTCGCAGCGTCGGCGACAGGACGCACGCGCTGGAAATGACAGCAAGCACGGCAGGCTCGTGTCGTGCCAGCGCGGCGAAGCCATCAGCGCCTGTCGTTCAAGGTTGAACGGTTGCCAGTGGAGCGGAGCCAGGAGATGTCGAGCGGTCCGCGCTGTCGGGATGCCGCCATGGCTCGAAGTTGAGCGATCCACGCGGCAAATGCCCACGATGTCGCGACATGAATTTGCCAGTGTTCGTGATGTGCTTGATGGGTGCGCCTTCCCTGTCGGATTGATTCCAGGGCGAAAGCGAAGGCCGCGGGTGGTCGTAGGAGAAAACCAAAAGGACACATGATGATGATGATGATGAGGAGGAGGAGGAGGAGGAGGAGGAGGAGGAGAGGATGAGGAGGTGGAGGAGCGGAAGGAGGGAAGGACTGAAGGAGCATAAGAGTGAGAATTAGGAGGGTGCGAGGGAGGGCGAGGATAGCCAAGCATAGGGGACCGGGGCGCGCTAACATCGGACGAGTGGACTTGCCACTAGCTACCATTGCCAGAGCTTGCCGGCGGCCAGGTTGGCCTTCGTACTTGCGCGGTTGCAGCGCAAAGTGTGGGAGGTGAATTTGACGTTCAAGCCCGCGGATTGGAACGAAGACAAGTTGGTGGAGATAGATGGCGAGAAGGTGACACCAGAAGCGCTCAGAAGGACAGGCGCCTCACATCTCACACACCGCGCATGTGCGCTTCGCCTCACGGTCTGGCTTGTGGCTGCTCGCAATTGGCATCGGTGGTGGTGTGGAGTCTTCGCCGCCGTTGCCAGATACGAATTGAAGCGTCTTGGGACCCCCCATGAAGCCATAAGTGATTCGCCAAAGTGTTCCGAACTTGAAGTCGGAGTCGGAATCTGGACATATGTCTTTCCTACTGGAAGAGATGCCTGCCCCAGATCCAGAATTCGACGCTTCCCCCTATTCCTTCATATGCCCTACTCCTTACGCCTCCTTCTTTCTCCTCCTTCCTACATGGGCCGTGCCCTGAGGGTGCTGCTTTGCCTCCCAGGCACCCTGCGAGGATGGGACCCCGCCTGGCACCTGCGGCAGCAGCATATCCCCTCCCAGAAGGAGTAGGCGGAGGAAGAGGAAGGAGGAGGAGGAAGAGGAGGAGGAAGCGAGAACGAGAACGAGGAGGAGGAGGAGGAGGAGGAGGAGGAGGAGGAGGCAGGAGGGGGACGAGTAATAAGGGAGGTAGAGACGGAATAGGTGAAGGCGAAGGATGAGGCGGAGACCATGACCTTGAAAACGCCGCTCGCTTCGTGCGTCATTTCGTCACGAACCTGCGCAAGCAGATCGCTCGCAGAGGTTGCGCATTCCCGTGGTGTTGCCCTCAAGGCGTGCTTCACGCGCTGCCCTAGCGGCGATCGAACGTGGCGTCGGCGGCAATCGATGCCCGACGCGCTCAGCACTCGCATCCACATCCACCATGCTGCCTCAGATCACACCCCCCTAGAAAGCCTTCCGGGTCAGCGGCTCAGGCGGTGACCCGAGGGGGACATGGCGCGACTTGCACGCTCCCAGATCTGGCTCGGGCCGCGGCAGCGTGTGCTGAGGAGCTGCATCTCATCGTGTCCTGAGCGTGTCTAATCCTGCCGCCTCCTCCTCCTCCTCCTCCGCGGCTGCCCTATTGTGTTATTCACTGCACGGGTGCACAGCTTGCTGGTCCGCGACCCGCCCTGGCCGAATCGCGCCGTGACCCACATCGCTGCGGCACAAAAGTGCTAGATGGCCGCCCGACTCACGAGCAGCACGAATTGGTCTCCATGCGAGTGACGCCTGCGAAATGGTAAGGGCAGCGGCGCGGTGGCTGGCGGGTTGGTATCGTATTTTTTACGTGTCAACAGATATGAGGCTTGGCCTGCAGCATGGAGCACATATTTTTATTCCGACCTGCTTACTGAGTTCTCGCATAGTGCAAATCAAAAGTCAAGGATAAGGAAGGGGAGGATGAGGAACGACAGCCAGACGAAGGAGGAACAGGAAAAAAGCGAGGAGAGAGGAGGGAGGACGAAGAAGGAAGAGAAGGCCGGGGATATTGAAGTGAGGGGAGAACGTGGCCATGACACAATGGATTTTGAGTTCGGTCGCTGTGATGTTGACGGCAGTGATGAACAAGCTGGCAACAGGGTGTCGTTGACCAAGGCGAAACATGAAGACGTTGAGCACGGCGACCACGGTCGACGACGTCGGCGACGCCGGCAGCCGACACGAGAACGGCACATTAGTTGCGCCATAGGTTGCGCCATCGGCTGTCGAAACTCAAGATGGCCAGGAACTGGTTGCGCCATAGGTTGCTCCCATGAGGGCTGAAAATTGAAGCGGTCTGCGATTGGTTGCACCACGCGTTGCGCCTTGGGCAGGCGAAGATACGGCCATCTGCGAATGGGCGTGGCTGCTGAAGTCCAGTCATGCAGCCCGCCAGGCCACGCCACGCCCGATAATCACCCTGCCCAAGGACCCAACTAGATGCACTTCTGAGTGCAGCGGCTGTGAGTATCGTCTTCTGTGGAGCTCCCTACGGAGCGACGAACCGTGCAAACGGTGTGTCGAACTTTGTGCGGGGAACGCATGCGAGAATTGCCACTGTGGCCTTCGGTGGAGTCCCCGATGGGGCCACGGAACGCGTGAGGGATGTGACGGTGTGCCGAAATGGGCACGGCGGATGCATACGAGAGACGCCATTGAGGCCTTGGGTGGCTCCCTATGAGGCCACGAAGCGTGTGAGGGGTGTCCCGAACATTGTGGCGGGGACGCATGTGAAGGGTGCCACTGGGACCTTGGATGGGGCTCCCTATGAGACCACGAAGCGAGGAGGGTGTGCCGAAACGTACGGCGCTGACGCATGCGAACGGTGCCATTGTGACCCTGGGCGGAGAGTCCTTTGGGGCCACAGACCGTGTGAGTGGTGTGCCGAATTAGTGGCGGGGGCGGCGAAAGGTGCCATTGGGACCCTGGGTGGAGATTCCTCTGGGGCCACGAATCGTGTGAGGGGTGTGCCGAAATGGGTGGCGAGGACGCATGCGAACGGTGCCACTGGGACCTTGTTTGGAGCTCCCTACGGGGCCGCGAAGCCTGCGAGGGGTGTGCCACCATGAGCGGCGGAGACACATGCGAACAGTGGCATTGTGACCTTTGGTGGGACTCCCTCTCGGGCCACGGAAGCGTGTGAGGGGTGTGCCGACATGGGTGGCGGGGACGCATGCGAACGGTGCCATTGGGGCTTTAGGTGGGGCTCCCGATGGGGCCACGACACGTGCGAGGGGTGTGCCGAAATCGGCGGCGGGGCGCATGCGAACGGTGCCATTGGGACCTTGGGTGGAGTGGAGCATGGGGACCACGAAGCGTGGGAGGGGTGCGCCGATGTGTACGGCGGGGACGGATGTGAACGGTGTCATTGGGACATTGGGTGGAGCTCCCTATGGGGCCACGAAGCGTGTGAGCCGTGTGCCGAAATTGGTTGCTCAGACGCATGCGAACGGTGCCATCGGGACCATGGGTGTCACGACACGTGTGAGCGGTGTACCGAAGTTAGTGGCCTGGACGCATGCCAACCGGGCCATTGGGACTTTCGGTGGAGCTCCCTAGTGGCCACGAAACGTGTGAAAGATGTGGCGAAACAGAGACATGCAGAGGGCAGAGGCAGGGATGGGAGGAGGGAGGCGCGGGAGGAGGGAGGAGGAGCGACGCGGGGCGCTGTCCCTTCAAAACGAGGACCAGCACCACAGGATGGTTGGGGACAAGAGCCTTCCCCTCCTCATCCTTTTCCTTTTTATCCTCCTCACCCGTCCTCCTCCCTCTCGATATGAGCATGCGTCAGGCACAGTCAAGTTCAGCTATATGCTCGACCAGTTCCAACTTTGCTCTTCGCGAGTCAGAGACCTCTTCACTGATCTTCTCATTGGCCAATGCCACCTCTCGGGCCTCCAGTGTGCTTCTACACCCTCGTCCTGCTCACCAGGTCGATCACACGTAGAAGCGCCTGTTCGAGGAACCCCCGGCGAGCCACTTGGCTTTTTGTTGACGAGAGGTCTGGACCAAACGGTTACCGAACCATTGCTTGTTTACTGGATGCCTGGACCATGCGGTGACCGAGTTTTGGATTTATTGGTGCGACTTCAAGACCCACCCCAGAACAGTTCCAGCAAAGGGACGGTCCTGCAGGCGGGCCGCAGGTCATTCCCCATAGTTGGTCCCGCCGTCAGCCAGTGGTGTCACCCAGTGGGGTCGCGGGTAGGCCCTCTCAATATTGCCAGCCACACATATCCAACACTTTGTTGGGCATGCAGCTCATCTTGGATCGCAAGTACTTCGTTCTTTGCCTCCTTCCCTCCCTTTCCTTGTTGTTTCTCTTTCTCTCTCTCTCTCTCGTTATCAGTATCGTTCTCTCTTTCTCTCTCTCTCTCTTTCTCTTTCTCTCTCTCTCTCTCTCTCTTTTCCTCTCGCTCACTTTCCCTCGTCAAGTCCCTCGCCCTCTCTCACGACTCACCCCTCCATGGGAGGTGGACCCCGAGGAATGCAACAGGAGGCGCAAAGTGGAAGGAGGAGGCGGAGAGAAGGCTCCCTCGTCGTTAGCTACCACGGCTTGGGTGATAAGAAGCCGCAGCGCTCGTAATGGCATACAGATTACATGCTTCCGCGCACTGTTCCAGAACGGCCATGGGGAACAAGAAAAGCACAGAGACCTGGAAAAGCAGAGGGGCCTGCAGGGCACACGGCAGTCGATGCAGTCTGCACTTCAGCTGCAGACAATGACGGAGGGCTCTTTTCTCCCACCTCTCCTCCCCCTGGGAGCGTTTTCTGACCACGACCGGCTCGAGAACGAGCGAGCCGCGAGCGATGTGACCGAGCTCCGGCGCGGCCGCCAGCATGTGGCACTAGCGGCGCCCCCCAGCGGGCGGCACAGTCAGCGGTCCTTTCGCTCCTTTCGGTCCTATCACGGTCGTTCCTTCAGCGCTCCTCGCGCACAGGAGCGATTCCGGGCCCAAAAAGGGGGCGTCGTTCTTTATCTCGCATTTCTCCTTGCAGCAGTTCGAGCGCAGCGTGGCATCGACCTCACCACGACGCTGGCCTGGCCGGCCCCACGTTCTCCCGTCGTCGTGCCCTCCCCCCGCTCACCGCCCTGTGCGGCGAGGATGGCGCACCAGGTCGCCCAGTCCCTGAGGCCGGGCGGCCTCTCCTGGGACCTGGGCGCCCTGTCCGGCTACGGGGTAGCTGGGAGCCTCGAAGCGCCGTGAGCCGATGTTTTCCCGTCAGGCCCTTCTCCCTCTCTCCATATGTATGTATTGTTTTTGTTGCTGTTTTTTTCTTTATCTCTCTCTCTCTCTCTCTATCTCTCTCTCTCTCTCTCTCCAAATCGATGTATTTGTGTATAGATTTCCCAAATGGTGCTTGCACTTAGGCGCTCTTACTTGTGCTCGAAGGAACCGGGCCGTGTGGCCGGTCTGGCGGGTATGCCTTCGCTGTCGCCGCCCAGTGGCCGTCTCGCCGCCGCCCGTAGTTTGGGCCTTGTGGCCGATCTGGCGGCTATGTGTTCGCCGTCGCCGGCCCCTCGCCGCCTCGTCGCCGCCCGTCGTCTGGGCCGTATGGCCGGTCTGGCGGCTATGTCGCCGCCCCGTCGCCGCCTCGTCGCCATCACATACGTAGCTCCACATAGGTTACACCACACAGCATATATTCATTGGCTTACGCCGCACCGCCGACCCCTTGGGGCGGCAGCAGGAGTGAAAGACGGAGTTCGCGGAACGCGCGCGATCGCTGGGCAATCTTAAGGTTTCGACCTGTCCTACGTAGCGCGTGGGGTTCAAGGGGGGGCCTTGTAGGGGATTGTTCTGAAGTTTTTCGTGGGCTATGTGGGTGGGTTTCTTGTGGACTTGCGGGGCCTGTCCCAGGCCTCCTTTCCCACCCCCTGGATAGGCTCGGGGATCGTTGAGACCCAGCTGGGGGGGCGTCCGGCCAGGAGTTCGAGAATGGACCCAGTTGTGTCGACGAGGAGCTTCCTGAAGGCCCAATGGGCGCGGAGAGCGCCCAAGAACTAGGAGTCTCATGCCTCGAGTCTCGATCCACCCCGTGTTCGTTCCTTTGTGAAGGGGTGGCACCGGCCAGGGAGGTCGATCCTCATCCCAGACCCTCGGTGGTGGTCCCGGGCACCGAAAACGGTTCCTGGAGGCCGAATTCGAAGAGATGCCTCGGGTTGTCGAAAGACCACGAAAATATGTGAGACATCGGCGGCGGGAGTGGCTTCCACAGTGATATTGAAAAAGCCCCTCGAATGCTTATCCTCTTCCTCCTCCTCCTCCTCCTCCTCCTCCTCGTCCTTCTCCTCTTCTGTTTCTCGATCGAGGTAGATGCCCGCGGCAGTTCCGGCCGCTTCTCCAGAGATTTTTATTCGAGCAACTTCTGTTTGTGATAGGTTTCCGTCTCCGGTGGCCGTTGCTGGGCCCCGGGATTTTCAAAACCGGATGTATCTGGGGCGAGAATTTGCATCGGCGGGCCCGGGGAGAGGTTCGGGGAACGAACTTGTGCGGAGTAGCCCGTCGGACTCGGGAGGTTAGTTGTGGTTAGGGGGGGTCCGGGCCCCTCCCCTGTCGCCGCGGCTGGATGCATTTGGGAAATCGATTGCGAGTGGATTCCAGGAAGGGTCCGGGGGGCCCATGGTGAACGATTTCTGCGTGGGGAAATAGAAAAATGTTGCTGCAGAGTCTTATGTTTTTCAGTTTTTTCGTGGTTTTCGTCGTTGAAGGGCCGCCTCGGGGTCACGGGGTCATTCGGAGGCATTGTGGATCCCCGTCAGGGCCTTTTGGGTGCATTTAGGCGCCCTTTTCATGGTTTCTCGGGGCGAAGTGCTGGAATTCTCCATTCTGGTTTCCTTTCTTACCCTCCTCTTGGGGCCGTCCTGGGGCTCCCTGGCACCTGGAGAGACCAGAGCTGCGTACCAGCGTGGATAATTATTAGAAGCTCAGTGCAAGCGGAAATCGACATGAGTGGCGCGGCGCTGTGTGTTAACACACATCGGCGTTCTCAGTTCCAGCAGATCTGCAGCACCCAGCGCTAGATCACCGATGGGGTTTCGACATCGCGTCGCGCACAGCATTTGCTACGGGGGGGCGGCGATTGAACCAGGGATTTGCGCTCAGGGAAAAAAGTAAGAAGGAGGGGGAGACAGGAGGAGAAAAACACAGAACAAGAGCAGGAGGAGGAACAAAAACAACGAGGATGATGAGGGGCAGGAGGGAGCAGGGGGGAGGAGGAGGGGAAAGGGGTGGCCAGAAGCCCCTGGAGCGCTGTGGGCTCGGGTGCTCGGCAGCGGTGGGTGGGCGGGGGCAACAAACGGGGGCGGACCGAGGATTGCAGAAGAGCTCGGTCACGCACAAACAGAGGGGTAGGGGAAGGGGGGAAGGCTTCTCAGGAGCACCCCTGCTTCTTAGAGCCGCGGGCCTTGTCTGTATGTGTAGGGCTTGCGCCTGCCCCCCGCTCCCTACCCCCGTGTGCCCGCCACCAGGCGTTGCGGGAGATTGGCCCTGAAGGGGCCTAAACGGGTCCTAAGCTGCACCGGTGCTGGAGAAGCACGCGCGTTTCGTGACACCTTGTTTGTTCGGTTACGGTGGGGGCAGTGGTTAAGGAGTGTGCCCAGGAGGCTTCAGGCTTCGGCGGGGCACGTCAGGGTTTCTGGCCCCGCCAAGGCTTCAGATTTCGCCGAAGTCGGCGCGCTTCCCCCCCGAGAGGCGCGGACCCCTCGCCTCCGCGAAGGCCTGGGGAGGCTCCCTGAGGCTTCCGCAGGCTCCAGGCTTCTGGAGGCCGGGAAGTGGCCCAGAGCGCAGGAACATCGGGCCTGAGGCTCGACCCCCGGAGCCCAGAAGTGCTGGAGAGGAACGCGCGCTGGCGTGTGCAGCATCACCAGCGCCCAGCTCTGACTGCGGGCTCGGCCTCGCTCGAGCGGCCTGGCTCTCGCTTGCAGCCGCCCGTCGTCTCTCGGCGCCTTCGCCAGGGCGGCCCGGGGGTCTCGCCTGAGGCCGGAGGAGGCGTGCGGCGGGGCGCTCCGGGGCCCTCGCGGTGCTGGAGTCAGAAGTTGTCACCCGCTGCGCGGACGGAGGTCCCGCCTCCGAGCGATCCGGGGGGGGGGCTCCCGGAAGGGCCCCGCCTCCGAGGGATCGAAGGGTTGACGCCACTTTCTCGGCGGAAGGTGAGTGGACGCCGCAGCGAGGCACTGAATCAATTAGGGGGTGGAGGAGGGAGGGGGAGGAGGAGGAGGGGGAGGGGGAGGAGGAGGAGGAGGAGGAGGGGAATAATACCAGCAGGAAGAAAGGATGTGTATTACGAGATTTGGATAGGTGCCGCGCACATCGGGCGCCCTCCCCATTACTGCAAGAGCTGATCAGGTGCCGCGCACATCTGGGTGATGGGCATCGCACTCCCTCGCTTCCTGCCCTCCTCCTCCTCCTCCTCTTCCTCCTCCTCCTCCTCTTCCTCCTCCTCGGCCTGGACATTGGCACGGCTGGTAGCCGGCACAGGCGATGCACAGGATGCCGCGGTGCTGGCCGCGCACGCCGCCGCCACACGGGGATGGGGGTGCGGCCGGCTGGGCCAGGCCGGCGGCCATTCTCCTCCTGCTGCTGCTCCTGCCCCCCATGTCGCCCTTTCGGGACGGACGGCAGGAGGGATTCAACCGATAGGTGACCACAACCCTACCCCTACCCTTCTGAGGGGGAGGGTGGGGTTCACTTCGTTCGGGAGCTCCCGAGCGAAGTGAGCCCCGAACGAAGTGAGCCCCACCGTCCCCTCAGAAATCGTGGGGGGTAGGGGTAGGGTTCGCATGTGGCCCCCTAGCCGATTCCTTCGCGGCCTGAGCGTGGCCCCCTCGCCCTCCCGGCCTCTCTGGCCGCCGCGCGCCTCGGCGCGTTCCCCTGCTCCATTGTGCCTCGCTGTGCTTCGGCGCGCCCCGCCGCTGCCCGACCGCCGTCTGGCCCTTCTGCGGCCGCTGGCGAAAAAGTTCGGCCCGCTCTTCCTCCTCCTCCTCCTCCTCCTCCTCCGCCTCCTCCTCCTCCTCCTCCTCCTCCTCCTCCTCCTCCTCCTCCTCCTCTCCTCCTCTTCTTCCTCCTCCTCCTCCTCCTCCTCCTCCTCCTCCTCCTCCTCCCCGTCAGCGCGGGGAGTGTTGAGGTAATGGGGGGGTTGTAAGTGGATGTTGGGGTGGGCTACATCTGGCATAACCTGGCTTACCAGTGTGCCAGTGGGTTACACGTGGCCTAGAGTACTGCGCGTTGGGTTGACGGGGCCCACGGAGCCCTAATAAGTATCCCAGTGCCCCGCCGCAACCATTTCGTGAATTTGGGTCCGGCTGATAAGCTGGGCTGAGCCAGGAATGTCCAATCGCGGCACCAACTTATAATCCGCTCATCCCCTTGCATCTCCCGTGCCCATGTTTGTGGGGCAGTTCTCGAGTCTTCCCGGGACATTATTGATGCTCTTGGGAAGAAGGGTCGCGAGCCCTGGGACAGCGAATTGAATACAAAACTCATCGGAGGCTGGGAAGGAAGATCGGGTCAGACGATAGGGGGGGGTAGGGAAGGGGGGGGGGGGGTACGAGATCTGCTGCGTGCGGCTGGTTTCGGCCTCGCCGCCAGGCGTTTCCCTCGACACATGGTCGCCTCCGGCGCTGGGAAGTGCTCGTGAAGCCAGCGACGTAAGCTGATTCGCTATCCCCCCTTTCGTCAAATCCTTTCGTCCGACCTGGCCTGTCTGCATCTTCGTACTCCCCCACGTTTCCCTCCTCCTGCTGCTCCTGCATCCCTCCTCTTGGCTTCCCCTCCTGCTTGCCTCACTCCTGCTCTCCTTCCCTCCGTCCTCTCATGGCCCGAATTTGCGATATCGATTTAACAACGCGAACGGTTCGAGTCATTCGGTGGTCGTTGGATAGAGCAGATCAGTCAAGTCGGGTGCTGTCTTCCAGTGACCTGCCAATGGTTATCCTGGCGACCGTGTGCCAGCTTGTCCTCCAGAAGATAACGCACAGACGGATGAGCAGCGTGTGCCGGCCAACGAGGGAGAGTCGTAACCACCCGTCCTCCTCATTCTGGTAACTGTTTTGCACAGCGAGCTCAAGCCTGTGGAGGGGGCTGCCGAGATGTCTTTGGTGATGCCTGCTCTCCTCCATACTGTAGGGGACTTTTGGATAGCGTGTCGTTCCGCCAGTTCTGGCCCACCACGTTTGGGCACGACGCGCTGTTCACGTAGCGGTCGC